ATGGGATGTTGGTACAGAGCCTGCGCTGGACCCTTGGTGTGACTCTGAGCCAGGGGCCGGGAGGACCTCACGGGTGGGGAGAGGCTTTAACTCCAGTAGATGCAGTTCGACACAGGCCTGCTGGGGTTTGTGGAAGGACAGGTTTGTGTTCCCAAATTTCAAAGGCCACAGGATGATTTACAGAGCCGAGAACCATCACATTGTCTGCAAAGTGAGTTACGATGACCAAAACAAGTTCTGCTTTCAAGATAAAAGACAGGCAATATTTCAGAGTTAATTTCATAAAACTGATCACCCGACCATTACCTCCCTGTGTCGATGTTAACCGTCAAGAATGAAACAACCGCAGGCCCTCCCGCCCTGGCCGGCGGAGGAAAGGGGCAGCAGAGGTTGGCTGAAGCAGCCGGGGAGCTGCGTTACCTTCCCTGACGCTAGACAAAAATTGGTCCAGGAAACTTCCAGGCGCAATCCTCTCTGCTTAAGACAAAGTCAAACAAAACCGGGAAGTTGGCTGGCTTGACTTGGGCTCCGGGGATTCAGGGGTGTTTTATGGTGTGTGGTCTTTGTTTGACCATAGATGTGTGGAGCCGAGGGGCTTCCCCCTGCCCAGGGCTGGCCGTGTGTCTGGAAGTGGCTTGTCAATTCTGAAGCTCTGCTCAAGTCTAGATTCTCACCACCAGGACTGCTGCCATGTATCCCCTCCCCGATCCAAATTTACCTGCTCCGTGTCTCCTCCCCTGAGGAGGGTCATTTACGGGTAGATGGTGCAAGTGGGCGCTCCCCCACCCATCGCCCCCCAGGAGAGCACTGCACCAGCACAGACACCTCGGAAGACACGTCCTCGGAGTCCACAGCAATGAGACGCTTTTGGTGGGTGCACTGGACATGTCACAGAAGAGTGGGGGAGGGGGAGACCGACCAGCCAGGGGTCTGTGTTGATTCTTTGCCATTATATGCACATGGATCACAGCCCGGTGGCCGGCTTTATACTGCTGGTTCTGGAGCCCAGATTGGAACTCGGGATTGTTCTTGTCCAGGAAGTTGCATGGAATTTATACCTGTGCCTGCAGCTGCCCATCTGCCTTGGACTGGACACTGTTCCCGGGGCCATGGGATCTATCCCAGGCATGGGGCACATCGGGGGGTGCTTGCTTTGACCTTGGTCAGAGATTGTAAGGGGGACGGGCGTGGAGATGAGCATGGAGATGGGGTTGGGGAGACAGAGTGAGGACCGGGCTGAGGATGGGAAGGGGCCCAAGTGGGGAAGGGGGTGGAGGCGGAGAGGGAGGTGGGAATGAGGATGCAGCCGGGGGAAGGCGTGCTGTGCTTAGTCCAGAGACAGGAAGGGGAGGAGGAGGGGGAGAGGATGATGTGATGTGTGGATGGAAGCATCCATAAACAGCCAGGGGCTCCCAGGTGTAGACAGCTCCCTGACTGCCTGCACCCAGAACCCTCCACCAGGAGACAGGAGGCGAGATGCAGAGTGACATTTCCCTGAGACACAGAGACTGAGGAATATGTTGATGGGGAGAGTGTGGGAAGCTGGGGCTGTCCACGCTGATATTAGCAGCTCTGCTATGTCATCGTCCATACAACTGAAATCTGTTATTTTCTTATGAGCTTGATTAACTGTACATATTGCTAACACCTGCTCAGAAATATAACGAGGGACAGGAACACATCTCCCAATCAGGGTCTGCGTGGGCTGCCTGCGTGACGTGGGTGCAAATCTCCAGAATGGGGATGTGTGCATGCACAGATGTGTGTGTGTGTGTGTGTGTGTGTGTGTGTGTGCGCGCACGCGCATGCACGCATTGCGGGGAAAGGGGGGCGTTCGTGCTCTGCAAAGAACCCTGGCCAGGATTTGGAAGTCCTGAGTGCCAGTCTAGGCTCTGCCACTGACTTAGAGTGTGACTGTAGGAAAATCTCTCCCTCTCTCTGGCCTCAGTTTACTTACCTGTAAAATGGAAGGTCTAGACCAGTGTTATCCAATAGAAACATCATGCAAGCCACATTTGTAATTGTGAGTTTCCTAATCACCACACTGAGAAAGTATATAAAGGTGAATTAAATTTAATAATATATTATTACATCCAGTGGGGCCCAAACATAGTTTCAATATATAAAATTTATACTGAAATTTATATTTCAATATAAAATCTTAGTGATATATTTAACATTCCTTTTAAAATGGTCTTCAAAATTCAGTGCGTATTTACCCTTACACAGAGGAACTCAAAAAAGCCACATTTCAAGTGCTCAACAGCCACATGGGGTGAATTGACTATTATGTTGGAAGGTGTCAATCCAGGGCATCTTCTGGTCTTCTCACTAAACTGTGGGTACCCCAAAGGTAGAGACCTTTTATTCTCTGGGCCAGTAGCAAGGAGCCTCAGGAAAGAATGTTAGTAAATAACCCTGCTAATAAGTGCAACTGACATATATTGTGTGCACTTTCAAAACACCTTTCATCCAATCATCACAGGTACCCTGTAATTCCATTTTGTGGATAAGGAACTTGAGGTTCAGAGAGGTCAAACCACTCGCCTGAGGTCACACAGCCCATAAGTGGTACAGCTGGTCCTTGAACTCTGGGTAGTCTGATGTACAGCCCACAGTTTTAACCCCTGCCCTGTACCACCTCCCGGATAATGGTGATGCAAATCACACTGCGCTGCCAGGCATCTTGTAAGCATCCTGTCATCTGCTCCTCAAAGCTGTCCTAAAAGGAAGGTTCTAAGGATCTCGATGAAAGTAAGAAAGAATGAGTGACATTGAAGGTGACCCTGCCATTTCTGAGCCTGTAGGATTCTTGCAGGGTATACTTATACCTTCACATACACCACGAGTGGTATACCAGAGTTTTATGCTACAGCTTGAATTGGCACGGTCCCTTCGTCACTGGGGTAGCCGAGGTACGTGGAACCACCCACAGGAGAGCTCCCGAGGGATCTGCATTACAAGGCATCCATGAAGCCTGAGCTGTGCCAGTAAATGAGTGTTTCTGGTGGCTCAGATGTGCATACTTAAGGCTAAAGGTAAATACGAGCTCCTTTCTTCTTTCCAGACACCGAGGTGGCACAGCCTCATGTCAGAGTCAGGGCGCTCGGGTTCAAATCCTGACTCTGTGAACCCCTGGCGATTTCCTGCACCTTTTAAGTTTGCCATCTGTAAAATGGGAATAAATAAACCCACCTCTTAGGCTGATGGGGAGGATGAAATGAATTCACCCACACTAAGAGCTTAGAACAGCTCCTGGCTCCTAAGTGTTGGCCAATCGTCGGCTCTTGCGGTGGCGCCCCAGGTGTTTTGCTGGAGTTCGAGAAAAGTTAGATTGCAGACTCTGGGACTTCTGGGTAATGAACATGTTCCGGTGTATGTTTCCCCTCTCCGAATTCCTACCCCACTACCATCTGTTTCCTACAATCTTACACTTAATTACAATTCTGCATCTATTGTTCTCTCATTGTTTCCCGTTCGTTCCACTTCCCTTGCCAATAGCACAGCAGGGCCTGTTGCCTGAATGAATGAATGGCTCATACCTGGCTTCGTTTCACTAGGACCTCAAAATAGAGTTGCCAGGCGGCTGTCACCATCCCTCCCTCCAACCCCAGCCTGTGGGCTTCTCGTCACTGTGTTTCATGGCTGGGAGCCTACAGCCTGGCGCCATGCCCGGCCCCGAGTAGGTGTCAGGAAATGTTTGTCGAACTTAATTAAACTTAACTAGAGTGAAAACCCCCTGCAGGAAGGAAAGACCCAAGGCAATCCATTCTCTCTGCTTCCCCCGCCGCATTTGACCCAAGGCTGGATAAGCCAAAACGGACAGTGTTTCCCAAGTGAAGTTCTCAGATTCTAGCTCCTGTCCTGGCTGAACACAAGGCGGCTGGGGAAATTATAGTGGGAATCATGAGAAGAGCAGATGCCTACCCTGCGCTGAGTCCTTTCACATCTAGTACCTGGCCCATCCTTCACATACGTCTGCCCAGTGTGACTCGCATTTAGCAAATTGGGGGACTGAGGCTCACGGTTTTGGTAACTTGCCCAAGGACATATAGGTGTGGTGACGTGGCCGGGATTTGGACCCAGGAGTTCCCGATGGCTCCATCTGTGTCCTTTCCAACACCCCGCAGTGCCCAGGAGCTCTGGCTTTGTCGCATCAGCCAGGGGTGGCAGGTGAGCAGAGCAGAGTGAGCCAGTGGGAGGCAGGACCAGCCCAAATAAGCCAACTTCCAGAAAGAAAGGAAAGCAGCAGCCCTTGGCCCTAAATGTCTCTCAAAGTCATCTACTCTCTCTACCGTCTTCATTCTGCTCCCTGCCGTCCCCAGCCTGTCTTTCCTGAGTCACCCTCTGTGTTTTCAGTCTCCAAAATGCAACTCAGATTGTGTTGCTGCTCTTGCCTAAAAACCTTCAGTGGACCCCCACCACTCTCAGGACAAAGGAGAAAACTCATAACCAGGGGTGTGCTGGGAAACCCCCGCTCTGGGAGCTGGGGCAGAAGAAGGAAACACACAGAAAGCCCTGATTTGTAGTGGCGGCCAATTTCCGTGGTGTAAAGACGCCTGCTGTGGCCGATTTCAGGCTACCAGCCGCCCATCAGCTGCTTGACAACAGTCCTGAAAAGGGTGCATTTGGGTCTCATGAGCTGGTAGGACCTGGCCCCAGCATACCACCGCAAGCGCTAGCCGACCATCAGCTGCTCTGTTCCACACCCTGAATATCTCCCGGCCCCCCCTGGGCGCCACATTGTCCCATCCCCCGCTCCTTGTGCAACCCCCCCAGCCGCCCGCTGCCCCAGCCTGCCTCCCACCATCCCCTGCCCTGGGCCGACATGCAGCAGACCTTTGCATGTGTGGTTCCCTCCCCCTGCCGCGCTTGTCCTCCCGCTGCTCTTGCTTCCTCAGGTCACAGCACAGCGTCACTTCCTCAGGCTTAGGTCGTCAGTGAACTCCTCCCAAATCTTCCATTAAACCTCTGTCTTGCTGTGCTTCCCTCTTGGGTAGCTCCCCCCACCTCCATCGAAGTGCTGGCCGCGGACATGCCAGCCCCCTTCAGCCGCTACCAAGCCCAGAACTTCACGCTGGTCTGCATCGTGTCTGGCGGGAAACCAGCGCCCATGGTGAGTACCCCTGGAGTGCCCAGCTCCTCCTCAGCCCCTGCTGGGCCACCCTTCTCGGCAGCTTGTCCAGCTGGAGGTGGCACCACGGTGCCCACTTTGCAGAATAAAGGAGAGAGGGTGTGGTCTCCATAAGTTAACTCTGTGCCATCCGCCCTGGTCTGACCGCGTCCACTCACCTGCCCCCCCCAGGTGTCCGTGTCCATGTGTCTGCCTTGCTCCCAAGATCCCAGCACAGACAGCCCCATTTCTTCTGGACCCTGCAGTCCCAGAACTGCACAGTGGGTCTTTAGGGGAGCTTGGCATCGAGCACACTCCCGCCCCAGTTATTGAGCAGGATGGAGACAAATGCGACCCAGAGAGCGGAAAGGACATGTCCAGAGTCACCCACAGTGTTCCTGACAGACATGGGCCTCCAGTCCATGGCCTCCAGCTCCAAGTCCACTGTGGAGGGAAGCAGGGGGAAGGACAGAAGGAAGAGAAGAGAGAGAATGGGCCAACTCCGTATTAGACTCAACCTAACCGCTTTGAGGTCTGTCAGCCCGGCGAACGAGTTACTGTCATGGCGACTTCGAGGGGTGGGGGCACCAAGCTGGAGAACTGGGCTCTAGCCCCTGCCCTGCCACATGCACTGAATGACCTTGAGCGGAAAGATTCTCCTCTGCTCCTCAGGTTCTGCAAGGAGGTTTAGGGAGTGGACAATACTAAAATTTTCAGCTTTAAAGAAATTTGTTTATTTGAGAGAGAGAGAGAGCGCAAGAGAGAGCGCACGAGTTGGGGGGTGGTCAGGCAGAGCAAAGGGGGGGGGGAGAGAGAATCCCAAGCAGACTCCCTGCTGAGCTCAGAGCCCTACACAGATCTTGATCTCAAGACTCTGAAATCTTGACCTGAGCCAAAACCAAGAGTCTGATGCTCAATGGACTGAGCCACCCAGGTGCCCCCAAATTTTGAGCTTTTTTAGAAGCAACGGGACCTGTTTGGTCTCATTGAAACACATGAAGCCTCATGTATAAAACATTTAAAAGTGAAGGAAGGGCGAGTTGCCCTTTTCGACCCCTGAAGAACCTGTGTGGAACCCTTAGGGTTCCCTGAATCCTTATTGGGAACCCATGGGCTCCATGCTCTCAGGCCTCCTCCAAGAGAATTGATAAAACTTTTGCACCTGTGAGTTTCATACATCACTAGGATTAGTGAGGGACTGGGGCTGGAGTGGAGGATGGGTAGGGTTAGAGTTCAAGGTGGGGAGATGAGGCATTCTAGACCCTGAACTGTCTCACAGGCAGGATGCAATGTGGTAACCCAGGCCAACTTCACCCCAGAACATAGGCCCAGACAGACCCAGCATCTCAGGGCAGGGCAGTAAACAGGTGCAGAGAGACCCAATACACAGAAATAGGCAGGTGCACCCAGGCACAGGTGGGGCAGAGATAGAGGGAGGCACATGTGGTGCAATAGGCAGGGGTGCGGCCCACCTCCCTCCACCTTGTAGTTCCAAGGAGACAGATAAAAAGGCAATTTCAAACCCAGCGGTTGGTGAGAGCAGGATATGGCCCCTGAGTTTTCCCCTTTGGAACCCTAAAGAGGTCTGGCCTCCCTATAATCAGACAAGCTGGTCTTTTTCTCCAAAGAACAATTTCTTTTCCAGAGGGCACAAAGAAAGACTCCTTACAGCCCTGGGCTATGGGAAGACTCCCCATCCCCTGCCCCTCCCTGCTCCTGCCATTTAAGATATGGCAATAAAATACTCAATTTCATATATTTCTGTGGTTGAATACAGATATAAATGTAAATGACATCTCTCTCCACACACACACACACACACACACACACACACAAGATCCTTCATTCCCCACATTCCAGGCATCTTATATTTTCCAGGGATGTCAGAACCTAAAAGAATTCTTTGGTATAAATTACAGACTTGCTTTTGAAGCACTTTTCAAAAAAAGAAAGAAAGAAAGAAGGAAAAATCCAAAGCAGGTTGTTATGTGCGTATGAGATTCTTCGTTGGAGCTATAAACTCTGACAGATTCTCCCTGTCCCACATTTCATCCCCCTTCCTCTCTCCCACCCCCCCCCCTCCCTCCGCCTTCCCCCCGCCCCCCCACCTCTCCCCCCCCCCTCCCCCAGCTCCCCTCCCTCCTCCTCAGCATCCTCCCCCCTCCTCCCACCTGCACCAGCATCCTCAGAAAGCTGCGTCCTTCCCTCCTCTCTCCCTGTCTTCCATTGATTTATTTATCTGATTTATTAAAAATACACCCAATCCCCACAGGCCTCTGGGTGCATGTACCAAAATAAAAGACAGCAAATTAAATTAAATACCGCCTCTCAGAACTTGAATGCCCCATGAGCAGAGAAAAACGAGCCGACCTGTTTGGCCTCATCCCTGCACCTCGCTCCCTCCCACGCACGCACCTGCTTCCTTCCTTCTGGTCCACAAACCTCCAAAACGCGCCCACACGGAGATCTTTTCCTCTTCTTTCTTCTTCCGAAGGCTCACTTACTCTCCAGCGCCCGCTCACCTCCTCCCTTTTCCACGGGCTGTCCCCAGGTGGGCTGCTGCGGGCCCCTGTTTCAGGACACTGTGTCACTTAAGCATCTACCAGCCCTGACCCAGGAGTAGGTGCTCTTAATTCCCCTTTACAAGCAAGGAAACAGGCTCAGAGAGGATCACCTGCTGGTAAAGACGGAGATGGACTTGGGCTCAGCCTCTGCTGCCAGTGGCTAGGTGTCCCCGTGGACCTGAGCTGCCTTCATGCTGGGGGTGCTGGAGGGAAAGGAAGGCAGGGAGTCCCCCCGGAAGGAGGAGGAGGCCCTGGAAGACGTGGCATTCTGTGGCCGGTTCCTCTGAGATGCCATGCGGAGGTCCAGGTCATTCCCACAAAATCTCTCCCACACCCTCCTTGCAATTTCAGGTTTATTTCAAACGCGATGGGGAACCCATTGAGGCAGTGCCCCTGTCCGAGCCTCCGGCTGCAAGCTCTGACCCCCTCCAGGACAGCAGGCCCTTCCGCAGCCTCCTGCACCGTGACCTAGATGACACCAAGATGCAGAGGTCGCTGTCCCTGCTGGACCCTGAGAACCGGGGTGGGCGACCCTACACAGAGCGCCCCGCCCGCAGCCTGACCCCAGACCCCAGCGTCCTCTTCCAGCCCACCACCGAGAACATCCCAGAGACGGTGGTGAGCCGCGAGTTCCCACGCTGGGTCCACAGCAATGAGCCCATCTACTTCCTGCGCCACAGCCACGCCCCGGGCAGTGACGGCACCGTGGAGGTGCGTGCCCTGCTCACCTGGGCGCTCAACCCGCAGATCGACAATGAGGCCCTCTTCAGCTGTGAGGTCAAGCACCCAGCCCTGTCGATGCCCATGCAGGCAGAGGTCACGCTGGGTAAGACTTGGTGGGTGCCGTGCTGCAGGCCCCCCTGCGGAGCTGGGTGGTGGGGAGCCTGGGCGCGGGGTCCTTGGCTTGCTGGCCAACACGGACATGGGGAGGAAATGGAGCAAATGGGCATCAGGCACTGAGATCGGAGCTGGGGTTCTTAAGATTTTTTATTTATTTATTTGAGAGAGCATGAGTGAGAGAGATCACAGAGGGAGAGGGAGAAGCAGGCTCCCCGCCGAGCAGGGAGCCCGATGCGGGACTCGATCCCAGGAGCCCGGGATCATGACCTGAGCCGAAGGCAGACGCTTCACCGACTGAGCCACCCAGGCGCCCCCAGAGCTGAGGTTCTTTAGCAGGTTTGCTGAGCTGGATCGGGGAACATGGGGGGTTATGGGGAATTTGCTGGACAGGGTCAGGAACACAAGAGGTAGGGGGAATCGGTCAGTCAGGGTCAAGAATAAGGAGAGTCAGAGAAGTTTGCTGAACCAGTAACTGCTCAAGGTAAGCAGACGAGGGTTCAGAGGCGGACCGCGTGGCCCTGGGGTCTTGCTCCTAACCTCTCACTGTGCCTCCTCACGAACCCACTGGCATGGGCCCCTGCCCCCCCCGAGCACCGTTCACTTGTCATTCCATAAAGACTTCACAAGCAGCCCCCACAGCCAGGCCCGGTGCTATGTGCTGGGGCCTTGTCAACCCAGAGGCCTCCCGCACCGCTCTCTCTGGACCCTCTGTGTTTCCCCCTGTTCTTTCTCGAATTTGAACCTCCCCATCCTCGAGATACAATCTGCTCCTGGCTGGGAGGCAGAGAAGCCTCAGCCTTCACTGGGCTGCTTTTCCCCCAGGAAAGCCATCCCCTGCCCCTCTTGCCTAAGGGTTGGCTTCCCTGGATGGTGTCCTGCCCCACCCCCACTGAGAGCGAGAAAGACCAGACAAGGACTTCAGAGCAACTAGAGGGGTAAGCTTGCAGTTCACGTCTCACACCTCGGTGACAGTGACGAGGGGGTGCTGGCGCAGGCTTGCCCCACCCCCTTCCCCACTGCACCCTAAGCCAGATTAAAGCACTCTCCTGCCCTGTCCTTGATCCCAGACTGTTCCCTTGACGGGAGCCATGTTGGCGGGCACCCCACCTTCCATCATCAGAGCAAGGGCAAAGCCCACTGACAGGCAATGGGCATTCACGGGCGTGTGTGTGCACCTCAGGGAAGTGGGGGACACAGCAGGCCCACCAAGGTTCAGGGGCCAAATTGGGTGGATGAGTAGAGCCCCTAGGGCTGGCTTCCCATCCACCCTTGGCTGCTGTCTGTTGGTGTGACCTCAGGCCTCAGGGCCCTGAGCATCAGTTTTCTGACCTGTTGAATGGAGCGAATAATTGGGACCTCATGAATGCCAGGAGCCAGGCTCTATGCAAGATGATTTCCTCACAAGTTTTCCTTGAGCCCGTGCAGCGAGCCTCTGGGGCAGTGAGAGACGCTGTCCTCGTTCCCATGTCATAAGTGAGGGGAGCCAGCCTTGGAGTACCTCCCCTTAGGTCACCCAGCCAGGTCTGACCCCAGGCTCACATTCTTCACCACTGTACTCTACTGCCCACCTGCTGGGCCTGTGGTGAGGCCACTCAGAGCTGGTAGGTGTAACCCGTGGAGAGAGCTGTGAACCAGAGGGTCCCGAGGGAGTGGAGGGCCCCCCTGCACTCTGGCCATGGCCGGGGGCTTGTGGGAGGGGCAGGGAGACAACCTCGGGGCACAGAATCCAACCATGTGGACTCTCTCTATGTGGGTCTATTTCTGGACTCTTATCAGGCCGACAAAGATCAGAGCACGCCACTCTGTGATCTGTGCTGTTCCCTCTGCTGGGATGTGCCACTCCCCACAAGGAGACTATGCCTGGTGCAAGCTCACCCCTCTAAGAGCCAAACAGTGTTTGCCTATGGAGGATGGAAGGAGGTCCCATGGATGGATGGATGGTGGCAACTACATTCTTCCTATTGATGGAGCCAGAACCCTTGGAGTCACCCACTTCTCCAGCTCTTTTCTCATACCCCACCTCCAAGCCAGCGTTAAGCCCTGGCAGCCCCACCTCAGAACCTGTCCCACATCTGCCACTTCTCACGGTGTCCTCTCCGACCACCCAACCAAACGCTGTCAGTCCCAATCTGGATTCTTACGGTAGCCCCCAGACTGATCTTTCTGAGCCTACTCTTGTCCTTTTCTGTTCTTTGTCGTGATTGATCTACTTAAAGTATAAATCAGATCATGACACAGATACACACCCACCCCAGACCCTCCAATGGCAGACAAATAGATTGATAGAACAGAATAGAGTCCAAAAATAGACCCACATAGAGAGAGTCCATTGATTTTTGATGAAGGCCCCTAGGCTGTTGAATGGGGAAAGAGAAGTCTTTTTAACAGACAGCTCTGAACAACCGGAGACACTTAAGGACAAAATGACCCCAGTCCCCTACCTCGCATACACATAAGAGTTAATTTGAGATCACAGGCCTAAATGTGAAACCCAACAACATAACGCTTTTAAAGTAAAACATGGGAATATAGCTTTGTGACGTTGAGGTAGGCAAGGATTTCTTTAAAAGGTCACAAAAGGCACCAAATGAAAAACTGAAACTGGGTAAATTAGCCTGAATCAAAATTCAGAGCCTCTGCTCATAAAAAGGCACCTTTAGGAACATGAAAAGGCAAACTTGCAGACTGAGAGAAAATACTCTCAAGACAGATATATGACAAAGGACTTGTATTCAGAATATATAAAGAACTACTACAGATCAGTAATGACAAGACAGCTCAATTTAAAAAAAAAGAATACATACAGAGGACCAATAAGCATTTTAAAGGTGCATAATATCATTACTCACCAGGAAAATGAAGACTAAGGCCTCAGAGAGATATGCCATTTCATAGCGACTAGAATGGCTAGCATTGGAAAAACTGGTGATACCAAATGCCGACAAGGAGGCAGAACAGTCAGAACCTTCACGCGTTGCTGCTGGGAATATAAAACAGTACCACTACGGTGTACTCTAGCAGTTGCTTACCAAGATAAAAATACCCCTACTTTATGACCCAGTAGTTTCACTCCCAAGTGTTTACCCAAGAGAAATGGAAACGTATGTCCACGAAGATTTGGACGTGAATGTTCGTAGCTGCTTTATTCATCACAACAGCAACCATAAAAACTAGAAGTAAACCAAATGTCCATAATTAGGAAGATGGGTGAACAAATTTATGATATATTTGTACCAGGAACTACTTCTCATCGATACAATTGAACTCCTGTTATATGTAACAATGGGGACAGAGCTCAAACACATTATCCCGAGCGAAACAGCCAGACAGCAGAGTACGTACAGCATGATTCCATTTATGTAATAAACTTCTAGAACATAAAATCTCTGGTGATAGAAGTCAGAACAGTATTTGCCTATGGAGGATGGAAGGAGGCATAAAGGAACCTTCAGTTTGGGATGGTGGTTACATAGGTGTTCACTTTAAGATTCGTCACATTGTGTTCTTTTTTTTTTTTTTTTTAAACTTTTTTTTTAAGATTTTATTTACTTATGCATTTAATTGAGAGAGAGAGACCCAGCGAGAGAGGGAACACAAGCAGGGGGAGCAGCAGAGGAAGGAGAAGCAGGCCTCCCACGGAGCGGGGAGCCCGATGCGGGGCTCGATCCCAGGACCCCGGGACCATGACCTGAGCCGAAGGCAGACACTTAACGACTGAGCCACCCAGGCGCCCCCGTCACATTGTGTTCTTAAAAAGAGTGCATTTCCCTGTAAGACTGCCATTATATTTAAAACCAAATCTCAGCGGTGTTCACCCATCACCCCCTCTGCTCCATCTCTTCCAGCCACGGGGTCCTCCTCACTCTTCTGTGACTACGCCCAGCTCAGGCCCACCTCTGTGACTTTGCACTGGCTTTCTTTTCTGCCTAGAATAATCTTGCCCCAGATAGTCTCAAGCCCTCTGCTCAGGTCTTTCCTTGAACACCCTATCTCAAACAGCCTCTTCCTCCTGACCCCATCAACTCCTTGCCTTGCTTTATTTTCTGGTATTACATTTACCTCCACCTACGCGTGTATTATGTGTTTTATTCCCTGGGTCCCCCACCGGAATTTAAAGTCCGTGTGGGCAGTTCCTCTACCTGCCTTGTTCACATGGTGCAAGGCTCACAACAATCCTTAACATGTTATTTAGTAAGCACCTGTTTAATAATTAATTCATACTTTTCTGGGTTGTTGTGAAGATTAAATAAGGCAAATATGTACAAAGTGCTTAGCATAGTGACAGACAGAGTAAGTACTCAGTAAATATAAGCTATTGTTATTATTCATCATTGTATCCCCTACATTGCCCTGCATAGTAATTGACACAGATTAGGTGTACAATAAAGAACTACATGTATAGAGCAAATGAATGAATGGGTGGGTGAGTGGAATGGTAGGTCTATGGGTAGGTTTGTGATGGATGGATGGATGGATGGATGGATGGATGGATGGATGGAAGGAAAATGGTTACGTGGGTGAGTGAATGAGTGATATGATGAAATGATGAATGGATGAGAGGGTGGGTGGATGGATAGATGGATGATGAATGGATGGATGGGTGGGTGGGTAGGTGGGTGGGTGGATGGTTAGATGGATAATGAATGGATGGATGGGTGTATGGATGAGTGGGTAGATTGATGGATGGATGGATAAGTGGATGGGTGAATAGATGGATGATGGATGGATGGGTAGCTATATCGGTGGATGGATGGATGAGTCAGTGGGTGGGTGAATGGATGGATAGATAGATGAGTGGGTGGGTGGATGGGTGGGTGGATGGATGGATGGATGAGTGGGTGGTTGGATGGATGGATGGGTGAGTGGATGGATGGATGGATGGATGGTTGGATGGATGGATGGATGGATGGATGGATGGATGGATGGATGAGTGGATGGATGGGTGAGTGGGTGGGTGGATGGATGGATGGATGAGTGGGTGGGTGGATGGATGGATGGATGGATGGATGAGTCAGTGGGTGGGTGAATGGATGGATAGATGGGTAAGTGGATGGATGGATGAGTGGGTGGGTAGGTGAATGGATGGATGGATGTTTTAGTGAACAGCCAGAATTCCTGGAAAAGCCTAGAGGGACTTTTCCATGAGATTTCACAAGGCTGTTCTTGCAGCAGAATGCTCAGAAGAGGTAACAAGGGCAGCTTATATAATCAGGATCTTTTGCACTCCCCTGGGCAGATGCATACCACTTTGCATTTCATATTATAGCCTCCTATCTGTCCCCCATTATAATTTTCAGAGCAACTCCTCAAATAGTGCAGTAGCCTATTCTCCCCACTCCTCAGTAAGGAGACTGAGGCCCAACAATTTGAACTGACACAACCAAGTCAGGTTGTCAGAGAGCAGAAGGCCAGGCCCCAACCCTAGGTCTCTGGACCCCCACTCTTTCTGTGTATCCAGGGATGGAGAGCAGGAAAAGTCCAGGGGCTGAGAAGATTCCTTTTGGTCACTCTCAGTGCTGTGTTTTAGGAGCAGGCAAGGAAGGGGGCAGGATTCAGCTGCCAGGAGCTTCTGAGGGCTCTCAGGGTGGGGGTGGGAGTGGGGAGGGTGACAGCAGTGCTCCTGGCTTATAGAAGCAACATTTGATAGGCAGTGAGGGGGTTGCGGAGGCCCATCTGCTGCAAAGGCACTGGTAGGTCAACAGCTGCCAGGATGGAGCTCAGAGTGAGGGCGGAGCAGGCCCCCCTCCTGCCCCCCACTGTCCTTCGGGTCAGCTCCACATAGGAGTCCTTGGGAACAGGCAGCTCAGAAAGCCAGGGAGGGAGTCTGGCTGCCCGAGTGGAAGACAGCCTTCCGCCCTCCCCTTTCTCCCCACCACCCTCAGCCTCCGGGCCTCCCTCTGAAGACCTGTGTGCCACCAAGCCCTGCTCTTGCCACCTCTTTGCCTGTGGCAAGGCCAGACCTCTGGCAAGCCACGACCCTCCCGAGGGCCAGGTTTATGGCCCGCAAAATGGGTTTTGTGGTACCCAGCCTCATAAGCACCAGGATGGGTGATAGGCCTAAAATGGGGCCTCGTGCATGTTAGGCTCCCTCTCCCCTCAGTCACTAGGCCCAGGCCTCGGCCTGAAGGATCAGGTGGGGTCTCTGGCACACAGGGCAGTGAGCAATCTGAACTGGACAGGAAAGGGGTTCACACTTCTCCGGCGGGGTGCCCTTGGGCACCCTCTGCTGGCTGCAGCAGGACAGTGCCATCCCAGCGGGACACAAGAGCACACAAAACAACCCAGGGCCACCCTCCCCTATGCAGGGCTCCCACCTGCAAACCCGCTTCACAGCCTTGAGGGTTAATAAAGAAGGGGAGGAAGCTTCTTGACCCCCCATCCCACACCTTGCCAGGCCTTGGCTTCCTTACAGGGACAATCCAGAAGGTTGGGAAGTTACATGAGGTGATGCACAAGGCCTGGCACACAGTAGGCTCTCAATAAATGTTAGCCCACCAACTCACCGCCTTCCTAACAACCAGCATAGCTGGGTGGGCAGGAGCTGCTCTCATTGTTGCCATTGTGCACAGGCGGAGAGCAGGTGAAGTGACAGGCCCAAGGGCACGTGCACTAGACCAGAATCTGCCCTGGGTGCCCTGGGTCAGGGCTCCTTTCTCCACCCCTCTCCTCTGGCTGGCGGAGGCGGCAGCCGAAGACTTCCCCACGCTCCCCGTCTTCCACCCATGCTGCCTGCCGCCCCACGTGGCACTTCAGACGCCTGGCTCGAGGTTTAATTAATAGTCCTTTAATTTCATTCTCAGAGAATGAACTTGGCAGGGCCTGGGAGACCACCCACATCTGCTGGCTCTCTGATTTCTCCTGGGAGAGCCGAGTTGGAAGGGGAGGCTAGGGAGGAGGCAAGGCCGAGTGGGGGCCATCCCAGGCCAGCTGCAGGGCCTAGGACAAAGCTTTTCTCCTGCTGCCTCCCCTGGAAGATGTTCACAGAGAAGGCATGGAGCGTGGCTCTCTGCTCAAAACCCTGCGGCCTTCCTCCGGCCCGGGAAGCCCCTTCCCCAAGGCCCCTGACCTTCGGCCTCAGCCCGGGTCCCGGCTGTTCCCTCCCCCTGGAACCCTCCTCATGAGTTTCATGTCTCAGCTGAAATGTCAGACTCTGGCCACCACTCACGCTCGGTGTGACTGCAGAACGCGGACGTTCTCATGGTTCCTGTCTATGCCCTTGTTCACGCACGAACGTCTGCCCTGCTGGAGTGTAAGCCCCGGGGCGGCAGGCGCCCCCCAGTCCCGCCCCAAGTCAGGCACGGGAGTGGCTCCGGACTTACCTGTTGAATGACTGAATGCATGGATCTGGGGGAAAGAGCCGCAGGAAACATGGGAAATTAGCTCTGTGGGTGACCTTGGATAAGCCCCTTTGTTACCCATGTGCCTCGGTTTCCCAATCTGAACCTGAGTGGACAGGCTCAGAGGTCCCGGCGGCTCTCCCAGCCCTGCTGCCCTCTTGTGCACAGGACAGCAAGGCCCCGGGTGTCGTGACCCCTAAGCTCAAGCTATAAAGGGCCTTGAAAGAAGTGATACAAGAATGTGAGGAAAAGGAGCAAGGAGGACAAAGACCCATGGAAGGGGGTGGTCCCTCCACACCTGTCTACCTCCCCCCACCCGCCCCCGCGGCCTCCAATCTAGGGATTCCCAAAAAACCCTACTGCGCAGATTACCTAGAGAGCGCAAGGAGCAGAGGGGAGGAGAGCTGAGTTCTATCCTGGCTCCTCCTCGCTGTGTGACCTTTGGCAAGTCACTGCCCCTCTCTGGGCCTAATTAACCCAGCTGGGCAGGGGATGGTAACGGCAGAGCCCCGCCTCCCCAGGGTTTAGTGCAGGTGGGAGTTTGGGGTGCCTCAAGCAGGCAGGGCTGTGGGAAAAGGCTTCCCCCATTTGCAGCTGAGTCATTTCTGGGGTAGACTTCTTTGGGGCATCCCTGACTCCACCGCCCACTGGGTTTCTCTGCCTTGACCGTGGTCACACTGGCTTGTGTTTGTCTTTCATCCCCACTGAGAGTGAACCCCGCAAGGGCAGACATCATGTTCTGGGTACCATTGAATGCCCAGCTCTCAGACAGGCTCTGACTGATCGCAGGGGCTCCGGGACTGGGTATGAATGAACACAGGTGTGAATGAAAGAACGGGCATCCTCAGAGCTCCTGGCTCAGTGGCAGCTGATCCCAAGGATGCTCACTGCTGGACTGGAACTTTCTCTTCCATTTTCCCTGTGCCTCCTTTCCTCGCTCAGTCTCACCTTCCCCGTACCTACGTACACCTCTCTGACCTGGCTTTCCCCTCCTTACAGTTGCCCCCAAAGGACCCAAAATCATGATGACACCCAGCAGAGCCCGGGTTGGGGACACAGTGAGGATTCTGGTGCATGGATTTCAGGTCGGCCTCTCCCTGAGCATCTGGAAGGGTGATGGGAGGTGGGAGGGGCACCGGTGGGCACGGCATCCTGGGTAGCACGTGCTTGACCTCCAGCTCAGCCAGCGGGCCTCGGTGTCCTGGTCTGTGGGGCAGAATTGGCTTTGACGAGGAATGGCAAGACTTGCACGTATGTTTGCTGACCCGTCCAGAACTCACAGCAGACATAGCTCATGGACCTTGATGTCCTGTCAAGTCCTAGAGTCCTTCTCTTCCTGGGTTCCGGGCAGCCATTCCCAACCCATCGGATGGCCTTGTGTTTCCAGAGGCCTCTGGCCCCTTCCTGTTCCTCTTGTGACCCGACTCCCCCCTGCCCTGACCCACACAGAATGAAGTCTTCCCAGAGCCCATGTTCACATGGACACGGGTTGGAAGCCGCCTCCTGGACGGCAGCACCGAGTTTGATGGGAAGGAGCTGGTGTTGGAGCGGGTTCCCGCCGAGCTCAACGGCTCCATGTACCGCTGCACGGCCCAGAACCCCCTGGGCTCCACCGACACACACACCCGGCTCATCGTATTTGGTACGCCGCCCCAACTGGGGCCCAGAAGGACGACCAGGGGTGACCCTGGCCGGAGCTGTCCCAGGGAGGAGGGAGCATCAAGGGCCTGCGTCCCCTAAATTTGCCCTGAGAGGATGACTTACACGAAATACTGGAGTTCAGTGCTGAAAACCAGAGAGCTCTGGGGTCAAATCCCAGACCCAGCACTTCCTAGCTGGGCAACCATGGGCAAGCACTTAACCTCCCTCAGTTTCTGCATCTGTAAAATGGGGCTGATGCTACCCGCCCCCCACAGAGGCCTTCAGCTGTACTGAGAGCACGTGCATGATACCACATGGCAGGTGCTGGGTACAGGGGAGCTCCTTTCCCAAGTTCTGAATGCCGCCCCCATCTGGTTCTCTTTCTGTTCTTCCCAACAGAAAACCCAAATATTGCAAGAGGAACAGAGGACTCCAATGGTAAGTCCTCACTCTCAGAGCTGCTTGCTTAAAAGCAAGTGATTTGCAAGGCTCCAGGACGCCCTGGTTGCCCCAGCGGCCCCTTCGTATACCCTTGCCTTTCCCTCGAGCCTCAGGCAGGCGACTGTCCTCTAGTTCAGCAGTCTAGGTCCAAGGTGGTCAGGAGTGGGTGCTGATGCAATAAAGGGGGGACTCAGCACCCCAAACCAGCCAGTGGGGATTTCCAGGGACCTAGTGTGCCCCCTCCCCTGCCCCACAACCACTATCCACAATGACTCTAGCCCTCTTGGCTCAGAGAACTTAGCGCCCTGGCCCCAAGAGGATGTGTCCAGCACTGACCTTAGAGTTGTGCCCCCCCAACCCCGGGCTCTTGACCACTCCATAGAACATCGGGGAGAACAGTCAGGTGCCTTGGCTGGAGACATCGATACTGTCCTCCCTGGGCTGCCACCCAACCTGAGCACCACCCCCATGGCACCCAGACACTGCTCCCCAGCCCACCAGCCCTCCCCTCCTCACAGTGAGCCAGTCACACATTTCACAACAGAGGCCCCCACACCTGGTCCCCACTGGATGATCCCATGGCCACCAGGCTCAGCCCAGCAGCCCTGGGATAGGGAAAGGGTCCCACCGAGTTCGGTGGGACAGGGGGCAGAGCTGGGATTTGAACCCAGCGCATCCTGTTGCTGAATGCAGACTTTGTGGGGGGGCCCTCTGAAGCTCCGCCACTCGGGGATCCACACCCTGCTGCGCCCATCAGGGTCAGCGGCCCTGACCCTGACCCTGACCCTGACCCTGCCGCCCGGCACAGGTTCTGCTTCTGGCCCTCCTGGCGTCCGGCTCACTTTGGTGCTCGCCCTGACAGTGGTCCTGGAGCTGACGTGAAGGCTCGGCCCCTGCTCCCACCGCTCCGCCCAGCACTGACATCTCTGCGATCGGTTTTCGTTTCTTTTCTAAACTATTTCCAGTCTGTTCTTAGTCTCTTTCTGTCTGTGTCCTGGCTTCTTCAGTCAGTTTAATTAAAACAGAATAATTTTCCCCACCTTTGTCTGTGGCTCTGAATTCTTCATTTATTCTATAGCAGCAGCTGGTACCCTCTGGTGCCCAGTGTCAGGATGGGCACTGGGCAGGGGGTGATGGCAGAGACAGAAGACGTGCTCCTCCCAGGAAGAGGAACGGAGCTGCCTCACTGCCTCACCCCAGTCCTAGTGACCAGATATGGGAAGCGGCCAGACATTCTCAGGAAATCTGAGGCTCCGCAGGGCCAAGTGTAATAGTCAGCAGTTACCACAATAGTGCTGCAAAACAAGCCAACCCAAACTTCAGTGGCATGTAACAACACACATTTATGACTATGTTCATGTTCAGGATGAAGCTGTTCTGCTGATCTAGCTGGCATGTGGCGGGTGCCAAACAGCTACTGAGTGAGTGAGTGACTGAGTGACTGAGTGACTGAGTGACTGAGTGACTGAGTGAATGAATGAATGGGTCAGCACCTCTCAAAGGCCTGCTATGGGCCAGGCCCCGTGCTAGGCATCCCGGCTGCAGAGATGAGCAAGATGTGCTCTTACCCTGAAGGAGCTCATGGTCCAGTGGGGGGAAAACACTTACCCAACTAGCCAAGATAAGTCAGTGTGATGAGTTTCGGCACCTCCCCAGGGCTCTGGAGCACTGAGTTGGGAGAGATTTATTCCGCTGGGGTAGGAGAGGTAGGTCAGAGGAAACCAAAGAGAATAGATGTCAGATGAACAGATACCAGAAGCAAAAAGAGAGGGCCAGGCAGAGAATGGAGGAAAATATTCTAGACATAGGGAATGGAATGAGCAAAAACTTAGAGGTAGGACAATTTACTATGTACTGTGGGGAAAGACAAGTCGTTATATCAGTGCTTCCCAAAGTACATTAATTCATTCAACCAATATTTATGAAGCAGGTGCCATGGGCCAAGGAGTGTGATGAATGCTGCAGGTTAATTAGGAACACTGTCATGTGGCTCTTGTAGCAGTTATCAATTGCCACAATGCTGCTGCGTAACAAACATCCCCAAACCATCGACAACAACAGCTATTTATTATTTTCGTTGTGCAGCTGATCTGAGCCAGGTTGAGCTGATTGAGGCTGGGCTCCCTTTTGCATCTGCAGTCAGCTGGGGGCTGCCTGGGCTAGGGTCACCTTCCCTGGGATGACTCAGCTCTGCCCCATATCATCCGTCATCCTCCCCCAGGCCATCCCATAGAAGGTAGAGGAGCAAGCGAGAGAGAGCTGTAGCACACAGGCCTCTTGTGGTCCAGGGGAACCTGCACTCCTGTCCCTTCTACTGGATTTTGTTCACCAGTGCAAGTCATAAGGCCAGCCCAGCTTTAAAGGGTAGAGAAATAGAGTGGACCTGATTTTATTTAGTTAGTTATTTAGAAAGAGAGAGTGCACACGCAGGGGGAGGGGTAGAGGGAGAGAATCTCAAGCAGACTCCATGCCAAGCTCAGAGCCTGATTCGGGACTTGATCCCATGACCCAGAGATCACGACCTGAGCTGAAATCAAGAGCTGGACACTTAACCTACTGAACCACGTGGGTGCCCCTAGATTGGACTTTTTGATGAGAAGGGCTGCAAAGTCACATTGCATAATGTGTGGACATAGGGGAGGAGGCAGACTAAGGGCCATTGTGGCCACCTATGTGATCCATTCATTCAATAAATATTTGCATGCCTGCATGTTGCAGGTGGATAGCAATGCCAAAGCAGATGATTTTCAAGTGTTGGGGGCTCTCAGATGTTCATCAGTATAAACATCCAGGCCAGATCAGCAGGCGACAACCACGCAGTGCCACCACCCTCCTCATCCTACTTCCTTCTTCCGCAAAGCTCTGTTCTGTCTCACATGAGCCACCTATCCCCCTCTGCTGCCTGCCAGTAATTTACTTAAGCCTCTGTCACCCAATGCCTTTGCCTGTTTTCTGGAAGGAATAAAAAAAAAAAAAAAGATTTGTTCCCTCTCTTTGCCTTAATAGAGGGAAGCCCATGTAGGCATGAAATTGGAATTGCTTTGCCCTATTAACGGTGCAGTCGTTGGGCTCCACTGACCCCTGAAGTGCATTAATACCTCAGCAGCAAGTGGGTGAACTGCATAAAGTGGCAGGGGACAGGCCCGAATAAGCCAGCTGAGTGCCACAGGGGATGGGGTGGCCACCTGCTCTGGGCTCTAAATTTGAGAACTTGGTGCCCTGAGCAGACTGGAAATAGTGGTTTGTTCAACGTGGGGTTGAAAGGAGGGAAGGAGGGATGTGTAGGGCAGAGCCTAGCCTCAGAGGGCAGGCAGATTCTTCATTTCTTTATCTGCTCACCTCGTCACTTATTTGACAGACTCCCAGCATCTCCCTGGCCTGGGCAGATGCCAGGCGGGGAGATACAGATCGTGCCATCGAAGAGCTCCCAGTCCATCTGGAATGACAGACTGAGGGGAGAGGGACAGAAGTCCCATGTAATAAGTGTTGGAATAAATATGAGAGAGCACGGTGGGGTCAGAGAAGGAGTGAGAGATTGTTCTCATTGGAGAAGGTCAGGGGAGGCTTCTAGGAGGTGGTGACATTGCAGCCAGGCCTCGAAGGATAAGAAGAAGGCATTGAAGTCAATTCTGCAAACTTCACAATTTGGCCCCAAGTCCCTCCGGGCTCCTGAGCTGTCTCTCAGGCACCAAATGGGGCAGCTCTTTGGGAAGCAGAAGGCTGCAGGTTTGCTTTGTGTCTCCTAAGGTGGTGCATCTGTCTTAAAAAAGGCTGCTGGTCAGGGCCTGACCACGGAGTTCCTGACCCCCTGGAAGCTCCATCTCTGCCCACTGCTCTTCCCAGCCACAAGTGAGTTCTGATCCCTGTGCACCATCCACAGGTGATCCCCCCTCCCTACACACCCCCCCCCCCCGTGGTGTTCTGGCTTTTCAGAGGACCCTCAGGCTGGTTGGCTGCCTCCCTGGCCCTGTGCCCACGATGCCCACTGATCCTGTGCCCGAATGACCAGGCAGGTGCAGAGACCCCTGCTGGGCCTCAAGGGGGCCACTCCCATCCCACATCCCCAGCCTATGGGCCAGGGCATCGGTCCACCTCCTCCTGCTGGGGCTCTCAGAGCTGAGCTTGTCACTAGGAAGCCACCATTTGCTGTCTCGTGTGGTGGCTCCGAGTGGGACCACCCTTCTCTGGCCTGGGTTCTCGAGCTGTGAACAGCTGGGGTCCGCCCTCCATCACTCAGGTCACAGGAAGTGGGGGAGGCACACGACATTGACCCTAGTGCTGCCCCATCTGGGAAGGAGGGTCTGTGCCAGTTCTGAGGGTGGTCCCTTGTCACTAACTGCTCCTCAGCCATGGGGTGCTGAGCCCCACAGCACCCCTGAGGGGGAGTCACATGGCTCCTCTGTAGACTGGAGACATCCCCTCTTCCTGCTTCTACCCAGGCTGGGCTGTGGCCCAAGCAGGAGCAGCTCTGGAGACCCGCCTCTTCCCCCCACATCTCTGCCCGGGTCGCAGCTCCCTTCTCCATGGGGAGATGCGGAGCAGTGAACCGTGGCCCCGACTCAGGGCTCTGGTGCCACACCTCTCGGGGTTTTCAGAGTCGCTATCTTGACCTCAGAAAAGCTGTAGGTTTTATGGAATGTACCCATGTACACAAGAGCTGGGAAAACAAAATCAAATCCAAGGGCCCCTGGGCTCTGCCCCTGCGGGGGGGCTGAGAGCCCCAGGCAGACCCTCAAACCTGGATATACACCTCTACTTTCCCAGGGCAGCGTGGATGGGCGGCCAGCGTGGGGAAGACTCACCAAGGAGCCCTGACTGCTGGTGAAAAGGAAAGCGGGGTGCAGTGGGTAGGGGGTGGGGGTGGGGGTGGGGAAAGGAGCCGTGACCCAGGAAAGCTGCTTGGGGTGCTGTGGGTCAGGCTCACCCTGGGGTCAGAGATCCTGGGGAGACAGGAGGCTTCTCAGAGGGACTTGGAAGTGAGGGATGCAGGGGACTGAGTTGGGGGTCCCTTGGGGAAGACTCCGGAAGAGAATCCTCCAGTCCGGTTGGGCGCCTGCAAAACGAAGAGAGCAACACCTGGACTGAATGAGATGAAGGGAAAGCTGAAGAGGCAGGGCGTGAATGGGAATGAGCCAAGGTAGGGACAGACAGAAAGACAGACACAGAGAGAGAGACAGATGGAGGGCATGGGAGGGGAGGCAATGGGCGGCAGGGAGAGAAAAGGAGAAGGGGATCGCGAAGCCAGTCTGGCCATGGAGACAAAGAGGGAGAGACAGAGAGACAGTCAGGAGAACCAGAGACAGAGACAGGGACGGAGATGGAGCAAGAGAGCCCCGCCCAGGAGCCCGGCCAGGGAGGTGGAGCCATGGACCAGAGCGGGGAGTGAGTTTTCCAAAAAGCACTTAAACTGTTGTGTCAGCAGTTATGCCCTTGGCCTCCTCGGGAACGACAGCCCTGAGTGAAGGGTGGAAGGAAATAGATGTGCAAAATACATGCAGTTTTGTCAAATGGGCTCAGTTGTCAGCAACAGGCCTAAATGTCAGCGCACACAGTGGAGCCCGAGCTGAGGGCTGCACCAACCTCGGGGTGGGGGTCCCCCCTGCCCCTCCCCACCCCGCCTCCTACCCAGGCCGGCGCTCCCTCCCGCCTGGCATCCACTGACCCCGGAGTTCCCGGGGCCCCAGAGAGAAAGAATTTTGGAGGAGTCCTTTCCTAAGCTGGGGTCCCCGACCCACCTCCTTGAACTCCACCTCCTGCAGGGAAATTCCTTCTCTGGCCACAGGGAAAGTCCCTTAAATCCCAGCCTGAGGGCATGGGACTCCGTAAGGGGGGCCCACAGAGCAGTCAGGCGCGCAGACCTGGGTCCGAAGTCCGGCCCCATCATGATCTGTGTGACGTGGCTACTTGGCTTAACCTCTCTGTGTCTGCATTTCCTCTTCTGTAAAATGGGTGTTCACGGCGTTCATCTCAGAGAGTTCAGTGGATGAAGATTAGAAAGCTCTGACTTAGAGCGGGGCCTGGCATGCCCGAAGTGTGCCA